ACTTGGTGCAACGCATTTGGATTGAGGAGGAGGGGCCTCCTGAGCTGAAGGATGCCCTTGTGCTATCACTGTACAAGGGCAAAGGTAGCAAGCAATGTTGCACGGATTATCGTGGCATCAGCTTGCTGAGTTGTGTGGAGAAGTGCAGAGAACGACACCAAACATTGTACTCGCTGTTTGTTGATTTCACCAAGGCATTTGATACGGTGAAGCGCGAAGCAATATGGCTGGTATTGGGTAAATTTGGTTGCCCGTGTAAGTTTGTAAGTTTAATTGAATGTCTGCACAGTGGTATGCGGGCGACGGTGCAGCTGAGTAGAGAGACCTCGGATGACTTTGCAGTTGTCACTGGTGTGAAGCAAGGCTGTGTCTTAGCTCTTACCTTGTTTAATACATATCTTAATGCAATGATGTCGTGTGCTTTTGATGCCGCTTGTGCTTACGGTGTTCGTGTGGAGCGCCGTATCGATGGTGGGTTGCTGAACATCCGTCGTTTCGGTGCGAGAACCCTAGTCTGTGAGACAACTATCCGTATGTTGCTGTTTGCTGACGACTGTGCGTTGTTTTCACACAGCGCGGATGAGTTGCAGCACATGACTAGTGCTCTGGCTTCGACAGCGGTCAAATTTGGGCGCACCATCAACACAAGCAAAACTGTATGTCTCTATCAGCCTTCACCGGAGGTGCAATCTTCAATATTGCCGCGAATCAGCATTGGTGCTGAAGTATTGGAAACCACCTCCCGCTTCTGCTACCTTGGGAGTGTGATGTCGACTGACAGGCAGCTACACAGTAAGCTGCGTATCCGCGTCTCGAAGGCAGCGGCGGCATTCTGGAAGCTAGAGTACCGAGTGTGGAACAACCATCACCTAACCATTGGGACGAAGCTGATGGTGTACAAATCCATGAAGCTGTCCGTTTTTCTATACGGCAGTGAAACGTGGACGAAGTACCGGCGGGCTGTGCGATATCTCGAGCGGTTGCAGCAAGCGTTTGCGACGGATTATGCGCATTGGATGGAGCGACAGAGTTGCTGACACGGAAGCGTTGCATCGAAGTGGAAAGTATGCAGTGGACTGCATACTTTTGCTGAGACACCTGAGGTGGTTCGGTCATTTAGGGCGTATGGATTCGACAGGGATACAGAAACAACTATGATATGATCAGCTGAGTATTGGGAAGCGGCATGTAGGGAAACCAAAGATACGTTACCAGGACATGATCAGACGGAGTCTCTCACGTACTACTCTTGATTGCAGGTCATGGAAATCGAAAGCGGTTGATCGGCGCGCATGGCGCCATCTGATCACGAAGGCAGTTGCCGAAGTGCGGAAGAAAGACCTCATACATGTAGAGAAGAAGCGGCAAGTGCGGAAGCGACAACCACCGATGGGTTGTACTCCATCGACATCGAGCGCATGGTGCTGTAGCACATGCGGTCGCGAGTGCCTGAGTCAGGCAGGCCTAGTGAGCCATGAGCGAGGCCACTCGGGACAACCATCAAATGCACAACGGGTCCTGCAGAGAACGTAGGCAGAAACGGTGCAGCGTTTGTAGGTCCGCTGCATTCGATGTACTAACCGCGTGCTTGCATGCTCAGTCTCTTTATTTCAGGTGGTGGGCTTGCTATATTGTCCTAATGCTTCTTTCGCTCATATTAATGCCTATCTGATATATCTTCTTTAAACGTGTACACGTCGGTGAGGCTAATTGTAGTTAATTTCGATAACATTTTCGCGTTTGTGACATTTCCTTAAAATATATTTTCTGACGGCTTGAACTTATCGCGGATTCCTTTGTAAACGACCTTTTATACGCCTATTAAGGAAAGAGTTATGTTTCCATATCTGTATGCATTAGCCGACTTCATTTATCTTGTCGTTTCAAGTGATTGGCTGTTGTTTGACATCCCCGGTGTGGTGGCTGCGCTTGATGTGCATGTTGACAAGGTGTCTACCTGCCTAGTGCCCATTACCTCGTCCATGCTGGCTCCAGCAGACAGTTGGTCGTTGCCAGAGAGGACGGGGTGCACGGTCATCGTGGTCGTGTTAGGCTAGAAGAGTGGTTCCATGCACTCTGTGGAGCGGACTACGGTCCAGTCACCGCCTTGTGTGCGATTGATTCCCCAAATACAGCGTGCTTGTGTTTGTCTGTGAAGGAGTGTGGGCCGGCTCGGTTGATGAAACGTGGCTCCCATCCGCATGCCTCCCGGTCTTATTCCTTCGGGTTTACACTGGATATGGGGTGTGTGGATGGAACTGTGGGTAGTGCAGCGCAAGCCACCCATGGTCCTTCTGTAGGCGCAGGCGTCCTGTGGCTGACCACAGTGACAGGCAAATCCGAAACCGGATGTCGCTAACAGCTTGCATGCTGACTCCGAAAGCAATTAGTGGGTTATGACTGTTTAAAAAGTGTCCTTTGTAACTGCTTCTAATATCGACAAAAGCGTGCGACAATAGCCCTGATCGCGTTACGTGTGTGAAAGAGCAATGAGAATCAAAGAGACAAAGTTCAACACAGAAATGCCTTGCGAGCAGTGCAGCTATCAGCATCGATATACCGAACCAACGATTCGCTGCCACGCAAACACCACCAATCGCACGTGGTCTAAGGATACTGCGATCGTCACCTGGTCCTCTACGCAGGCTCAAACCCGCGACCTCCAACTTGCAAGGCAGACATCTTGTCTTTTCGGCCACGGAACTACGGGTATACAGGACATGATAGTGTACCGAATCGGCATGATGTGTGCTAGCAGTAGAATTAATGCGCCTTTGTTTAGTCAAATTACCAGGGAACATGCTGGTTGATTCGTTAACCAATGCATGAGGACATAGGAGGGAAAAATCAACGTAGAACAGAGGATAGTCGCTAGCAACGAAAGGGGAAGTAGATAAGCCACATCGAAATCAACGAACAACACGAAAAGCCGCCGAAAAACTAAGACCGGAGGTGGCTAATCGATACATGGGAATAAAGACTAGCATTGTAAACAACCATGTCACGCACCCGGATGCCAACATATCTCGTCGAGGATTCCAGGCGCAAATAAACACTTCTGACGCATGCCCCGAAAGTACGGTAACGCGTTCTTTGGAAATTTGCCGACTGAGCAATGGGGAGGTGTTATTCACTTCAGAAATCTGTATTCTGTCAACATCCATAGGTTCACCGGAACCACGAAAATGATTCACTAGAAAGCGGAGAAGCACAGAGGTGAACAAATTGTTAGTTAAGAAAGTGGCTAAAATGTAGCAAGTCGCTGTGTGGACTGCACAATGGGCTGATGAATAAATATTGATAAACAATAGTGATCTCGAGCGACGCAGTGGTTTCTCACACGTGAATCAGTTAGTAGCTGAGAACAAAACTGGTAACACGTGAAAAACAGAAACGATTCTACCAAAATGTTCAAAAGAACACCAGTAATTAAACAAATATATCTTTAAAAAACAATATCATAATGAGAACGGTTAAGGTCTGTGGGGGAGAACGTCGGGTGAACTGTGCAGCCGCACTGATGAGGTTGCACTGCCATGCAATGAAAGGTCCGCACAATAATCATTCAGCTCGGAGAACAGCTCAAAACCCGCATTCGTTCCCACGCCCACGCCCCTGGTGCGACTAGTTGAAATCATATATATATATATATATATATATATATATATATATATATATATATTGCGTTCATGATGATTCTTCACCGAGGTTGGGTTAAACCAACTTAAACTAGGTCTTTTTAATCTGGATAAAAGTCATTCCACTTTATTTGGTTTGTTCAATTCCGTTACGATGCTGCATATTGTGCTATTCTTGCGTATTTGCTTTCCCTCAAATTCTATGTTGGTTGTTTGATATCCCCGGTGTGGATGTGCTTGATGTGAATGTTGACAAAGTGCCCACCTGTCTAGCACCTTCCACCTCGATTACTTGCTCCAAGTGAATGTGACCGTTGCTGGAGGAGAGGTGCACGGTCCCCGTGGCCGTGCCACGCTCAAAGAGTGGTTCCATCCAGTGTGGAGTGGACTACGGCCCAACCATCGCCTTGTGTACGTTTGGTACGCATGATCCCAAAATTAGATAGACAGGAATGCTGCTGCTGTGTTTGTTGAAGGAGTTTGGACCGGCTCCGTTGATGAAACGTGGCTCCCATCTACATGCCTCTCGGTCTTATTCCTTCGGGTTTACACTGGATATGGGGTGTATGGATGGAGCTGTGGGTGGTGCAGGGCAAGCCACCTATGGTCTCTTTGTAGGCGCAGGCGTCCTGTGGCCGTCCTATGGAGGCCGCAGTGACAGGCAAATCCGGAACCGGATGCCGCCAACCATATAAGAGGGAGAAAATGGCACTCTACCAGTGGGTTTACATCATCGCTTGGATCTGCAAAAGCTTAAGCACAAAGTACATTCCGAAAACTTCAGTTTGAAGCAATGGAGGGGATTGGGTGAAACGGTAGTTCGATTTAGGTAGCAAAGAGCTTTCGGGAACCATTTTCGGACTGTGACATCAAACTTGTCTGGACTTGAGGCAGCTACAAATGCTGATGAGGGCATTGCTTTGAGCCCTGGGGACTGAAGCTGTTTCAAGGGATTGGATCCAAATCAACAACCGAATGTGCACCGTCGGATTAGCTGGCTCGTTTAAAAGTTCGAAGTCACGCGCGCGGACAAACGGCGTCTGTTTATTACTGTTGTTCACTCCCCACAAACTGTGGTTCTGTGAAGGATGACTTCTATTATAGTAACTAAACGCGCTCCTTCGTTATATAAAATGTACAGCTACTACAGTACTGGCTGGTGACCTGGATGCCCTCATGTATTTCCAACCGGGCTTCAATCTCAAGTTGTATGTCGAAGTCTCCTGGAAAATGTGCACTTGGTCTACCTGCCGCTATTAAACAAACCGGACCATCAAAATGACCTAATCTGATACCGATTATTCCGCGTCGGTCAGATGCCAAGTGCCTCCAGTAAAAATGTCACTGCTGATGTATCGCACAGCAAATGCTTCTGTGGGTCCCAGACATATACTCGACCTCAAAGCCCTGCTATGGTTTTGAAAAGGAAGGACACTACAAGATTTGTGGTTCCTCATTCAAATACAAAGCAGAAGCGCGCCGGGGTTGTCTACCGTCTATCAGTCGCCGCACCACCAAATAGCCCCTTCAATGTCACCATCGTTGTACTTACCCATCAATAACGTCCTCTGGTTGGCGAGGAAAGCTCTGGGAACTACACTGCTGCGTCCGTTGTCAAAGGGATTAATTGGAATAACCTTGGTTCTCATTGGCTAAAAGCTAAGTATCAGGTTTCACCAGTCAATATCTTTTACCATGCAGTATAAAGACTATTAATACAGGCCTAAAGCTGTCCGCACTCGAAGCTCTGTCCCGATGTACTACTGCGGCAAGACTTCCCTAGGCTTCACCAATATGTCCAAATGCCGTTCTTCAGTTAAAAACTTATCCTCTAGTTGCGTACATTGCTGGTCGCCGATGTGGACCCCCACTTCTCGTTCAGGAATGATAGCTTCAACTACAAAACAATCACCACAAAATCGAGGGGTACCTCTAAAGCGGATAAGCAATTCATTCAGCTAGAAACACAGCTTCTGAAGGACAGAATCACTGAAGCATCGGTAACTCCGTGACGAACTCATCATTAAGAAACCATGGCTGTAGAGTACGGCCAAGCCATCAACACTCAACTGGACGCGTACCCCTGCGTAAAATAAACGCCCGTATCGATAAATTGACCGCTAATCTGTGTATAGCATTTGATATATCTTTGAGGAAAAATAGTGAAAATGCATTGGATTCGTACATCGCGGAAATATCTCATTTCGTCGTGTACACTACCGTGTTACCAAGGAAATCGCTCTTTTCAGTGTATTACCATAACCGGAAAGAATTTGGACGCGACATTCGTCTACATGGAAACAGATCGATGTGCGGCGCAACCAAGGTAGAGCATAATGGAAATCTAACGAAGGTTAATAAACTCGCTCGAAATTAAAGTCTAACATTTAACGAAAACAAAAGCATCATTCGTTCGAAGAAGATACGACGTTTCTGATATGGACCGAAATTTGCACAAATAATCGTCCAGGTCGCAAGCAGGAATAATAACTCCAAAATCTCAAGAAAGCAAAACTTTCTTTCGAACTGTGACTGCGTACATGTTGACTAAAGGTCGCTAAACACGAAAACATTGAAATTATTGAAAAGTACAGTGTCTAAAGAAGGTAGAACGATGGATAGCGTACAACTAACCTCAAAAGTTGAGGAAAAAGATTCATTCCGAAGCGGGAAAAGGTGCGCAAATAGAGACAGAATTCAGTTGTGTTTTATTTTCGATAAAATTTACAAAAATAAGTCATCGTAGGGAAGCTGACTTTCCCAAATGTTTTATACATGGTTATTCGACAAGACCAAGACCGACCTTAATCAGTGAAATGACCACTCGCTACCACGGAAATTAAACCCAAACGTGTTATGGGATATTTTGTGTATCACTTTGCTCGAAAATCGTTGCCTCCTCTCACCTATGTGGTTCCAAATCTCATGATGACTCTACCCATGATCGATGAGACGCAAGAAGCAGACAATGTTATTGCCATTACGCTAACAAAGAACGGACGAGCAACTGCATTCTCAAGGACACTTCATGTCAGTGAACGACTCAATTCTGCTGTCGATTTGATCGTTGAGTCGATCCGAAAATAGCGGCACTGCCTGATAGGAGACGACTTTACTATCATTATGGAGCAGCGAACTGCTACACTTATGTTTAATCTCTATCAGAAGAGCAAAACCAAAAATGATAAAATTCAACACTGGCGCATTGAATTCTCGTCTTATAAGTATGAACCGGAGCGAAGCTTCATCGTGCACATGTGGCTTATTACGATCATAGACAATGGTACACCAGAAAATGCACTACACTTTGTGCCATTCTGAAGTGACTAGAACGTTTCACCTTATCCTTTCGCGGAACTTGCCTTTCTCAGTCGATGAGGTAGAGGCAATGGCCACCTGCTGTCACAACTGCGCTGAGGTGATGACTAGATTATACACATCGTCCAAGAGGCCCATCAAGACGAAGTATAGCTTTTCGAAAGAGTAAACATAAGTTGAGGGGTCTTTGCTACCGGTGACGTACTAAGTGCCTGTACACTATCGTTGGCGAATACTTTTACTTCTCTTTTACCGTTCGATGCAGTGACAAGAATACCACAAGTGTGAAAAACTATCTAACCAAACTATACGCGATATTCGGCAGGCTACGATTTATTTTGATCGCGGTTAGTCCTTCATGCTTTGGGAAGTTCGGTATTTCCTGAATCTGAAAGGTATCGCAGTCAGCCGGACAACACCGCAAAAACCACAATGGGCAGATAGAACGTTTCGACAGAATCAACAGGCAATCAAATACTCGTTCACCTGGATCTAAGGGCATGGCAAAAACCTTATTGAAATGTTGTTGGACGCTTACAATAGATCCGTCACTTATTCTGCACCATAACAAACACTACCCCCTAAGAGACTTCGCGTAAAAGCGTAAATCAATATCAAGGATTTAACCAACAAGTCGGCTGAATGCGCCTGGAGCCGTCCAGTTGTGTCATAATGTCAGAGCCTCGGGATAGTTGAGGAAGTGGAATTACTGAGTTGCGATTCTTAATATGCTCACATTCGATTCCCGGATGGAAATATAACAATGTTGCCATGCACCCTGGTACTATCAGAAATTTCTGTCTACTGGCCCTTCCAGTCCCAAACAGCCCAAGCACTCTTGTGCCCACATTTGTTGGATGAACTGTTCTCTGAGCTTGGCAATTCTGTTGCAAACGTTTCATCACCAGTCGAGGTGATATCATCAGTGCTTTAGTGCGCAGCGTAGTGTAGGGATTCGAATCGCTCCATTACACTACGCTACCACCTCGAGTAACCATAAATTGGGAGCGACGATGACGAATAAGCCTAATTAATCATAAGACGTTTTCAAAAAAAATCGCCAAGTTCAAAGGACAGTTCAACATCATCATTATCATTATACACGTTAGCTAGAGGTGGGGAACACCTCAGCTACTGTGCCGCAATACAGAGAAAAAAAGGAGAAAAAAGAAAACCAACTGGTGCAAGCTGGCTGAGCTACAGGTAACGGATGGGTATCGTTACGACAAGCTACCAG